AGGTGCCATCAAGCTAAAGTCAAGCCGACTAAAAGAGTTGATGATGGTGAAATGGAACCAGGTATATATATTAAAGCAGAGCAGGAGAAAGACCAAGATTTGAAGCCAATAATTGATTTTCTAAAAGCAAGTGTTCTGCACCCTGCTTGGGAGAAGGTGTCTAGTCTAAGCCCTGTGACAAAGACCTATGGGGCACAATGGGACCAGTTGAAGCTTGAAGATGGTATTCTGGTCGGGAGATGGGAAAGTGACGACCAGGCAAACGGTTATACCGAGAAAGTTACGAGAAGTTGTGTTGCGTCAATCCCATGATAGTTTAACAGGAGGACATCTTGGAGTTAAGAAGACATTGAGTCACCTACGACAGAGATTTTACTGGATATGTATGTGGCAAGATGAGGAAGAATGGTGCAGAACACGCAGTACATGTTGTGTTAAAAGGGGACCCAAGCACAAGGGACGTGCTCCAATGAAGTTATATCAAGTTGGCACACCAATGGAAAGAGTAGCCGTTGACATTGCTGGTCCTCTGCCCCAAACTCGTGCTGGAAACAAGTACATTTGTGTGGTGATGGATTATTTTACCAAGTGGCCTGAGGCATATGCAATACCAAATCAGTAAGCTACAACTGTAGCTTTGGCTATTAGTGATTTTTTCTTTAGATTTGGTATGCCATACGAACTGCATTCAGATCAAGGCCGTAACTTTGAATCAGCTGTGTTCCATGAATGCTACAAGTTGTTTGGCATACCGAAAGACCAGAACAGCACCACTTCACCCACAGTCTGATGGGATGGTAGAAAAGTACAACTGGACACTGGGACAGGAATTAGCAAAGTTTTGTAATAGCTGCCAAGATGACTGGTATGTCTTTCTCCCTCCACTGTCGATGGCCTCTAGGACAGCAGAGCATGAAACCACTCCAGCAAAGTTGATATTTAGTCGGGAATTTCGGTTGCCAGTGGATCTGTTAACAGGACGCCCACCTTATGAAGAGTTGCCTGAAAATGTGTCAGAGTTCGTGAAATTGTTATTGGATGGATAATATCCACTATCAAGTGCGTTCAAACTTGAAAACGTCTGCTGATTCGATGAAGATATGTTATGATAAGAGATCTACTTAAGTCAGATTTGTACCAGAAGTCAAGGTGTAGTTGTATAATCCCAGGAAGACCAAAGGGAAGTCTCCTAAGTTTACATCTCCATGGGAAGGTCCGTATGACATAGTGGATCATCTCTCAGATGTGACTTTCTGGATAAAATGTGGTCGGTGAGGTAAGCCAAAGGTGATGCATGCCAACACGCTTTGGCGTTATCACAGTCCAGGACATTTCAGTTAGAACGAAGTGAACAATGGAATAAATGATGCTGCTGAAAACATGTTACCTGAAAAAGCCAATGTCGAAGTAGAAACTCTACCCAGTAATGAAAAGGGAAACAGTAAAGCCTTTCATGAAGTTACTACCATTGATGTGATTGTTACCGATAATAGGACAATTCCCAATGGAGCAGATGAACCCCACGTGAAGAAAAAGCAAACAAGATGGAGACCAGTATGGAAAAAGATACGTCCCGTAAAATTAAGAGACTTTGTTGAAATTTTAATTTTGTGTTTGTTAATTCTGTCCATTACGTTATTTTTAATTTTCTATTGGTTTAATGTATGTGGCAATTGTTCGGGACGAAAAATACTAAGGAAGGGGCAGTGTTACGACAACGGAAGTCACGTGACC